GCGCCCCGGCTCTCCGCGAGTCCCCCCTCCAGAAACTTTCCCTTCCCGGGCAACCCCCCCCTAACGCCCGGCCGCGCCGCGCCTGGGAGGGAAGGGGGGGTGCTGCACAGCGCCACGTTGCTCCAGCCCTGCCCACTGCAGCTGGGCTGGCGGAGCCTGGGGGCTGTAGCCCCGCTCCCCCTGCTGGGGACAGCGGCCTCTCCCAAGGCTGGGGGCTGTGCGGAGCTCGGAGCGTGCAGCCGCAGCCAGCGCTCCCAAGAGCTCGCTCTGTACCACCCGCGCCTGGGAGGGAAGGGGGGGTGCTGCACAGCGCCACGTTGCTCCAGCCCTGCCCACTGCAGCTGGGCTGGCGGAGCCTGGGGGCTGTAGCCCCGCTCCCCCTGCTGGGGACAGCGGCCTCTCCCAAGGCTGGGGGCTGTGCGGAGCTCGGAGCGTGCAGCCGCAGCCAGCGCTCCCAAGAGCTCGCTCTGTACCACCCCCATTCCCCGGGACCGGGACATTCCCTGCTTCTTCCCTGTGGCTGGGAATTTTGTCGTCCCCTCTTTTGCGATGAAAGTTTTTTTTTTCTCAAAGTGAGTCCCAAGGTTAAATCTCATGCCTGTGGAAAGCCCTGCAAATCCGTGGATATCCGCCAGTATCTCCCGCTCTTTTTTGCGGATACAGATGCGGATGCAATTTTTGCATTCGCCTAGGGCTCTATGCATGTGATTGCTTTTTAAAAAACGACCCTATTCAAATGGGCACAGCCTGAGCTGGCCCTCCCTTGTTCCCTAAGGATAATTGGAAGGGGGTCGTCTGGGGTGTGTGGGCCCACTGGTATCAGGCTGTGGCAATTATGAACAGTGTGAAGGAGATTTTAAAGTGTCTAATCAGAATATGATCTGAGGAAGCGGGTCTGGCCCAGGAAAGTTCATCACCGAAATAAACCATCTTGTTAGTCTTTAAAGTGCTACATAGTTTTTCCTTTTGTTTCATCAGTGCCTGGCAAATCCTCACTGATCTTCCTCTGAGATAGTGGCTTTCAGTTCCTGGTGGCTTGACAGCTGTCTGTCTGTAAAGGCCCTTGTACACTGGGGATGTTGTAGAACTTATAGATGAGAAATGAAGTAAACTATACGTCTAGCCAAAAAACTAATACCTGACTAGGCAAGATTTATCTTGCCCCTGCTGTATTAAATGCTCAGGTTCTGAAGCTCAGTTTTTATTTGTGCATTTGAATTGTTCTAAATGTATGGGTCCAGGATCCGGTTTTTCTGCTGGAATTCTACCCCAAACCTCAGCCCCAAAAGTGTATGCTAGCTATCATTTTAGCAGTGCATGGGGAATGCTTCACTGCTAATTGCAGGGGGTCTGCAAAGCTCTGACAGGAAGCCTTTGCTTCTAGAGGGCTGCTTCAAAACCAATGCAAGTAACCAATGCATGGAAGGGATCCTTAAGGAATCCATATTGAGGCACTTGGATGAGAGGAAAGTGATTAGGAATAGTCAGCATGGATTCACAAAGGGCAAGTCGTGCCTGACCAATCTGATTAGCTTCTATGATGAGGTAACTGGCTTGGTGGACATGGGGAAGTCAGTGAATGTTATATACCTTGACTTTAGCAAGGCTTTTGATACGGTCTCCCACAATATTCTTGCCAGCAAGTTAAGGGATTGTGGATTGGATAAATGGACGGTAAGATGGAGAAGAGGAGAACGGAGAGAGGATGGATACCCTTCAAACCTGCAAATGCAATCCACAAAAAACATTAAAGGAAGAGCTCAAAATAGAGATTGCCTCCAGCAGAGCTTGCAATCAAAGACATGCAGGCAGCAAACCAAACCACTTCCCACAAACTGCAGCAAAATACACACTCCCCATGAGTAATCACACCTCTGCTTGCAGGGAAGAGGAAGAAGAGAAGAATAATTGGTGACAAACTGCCTCCAATGTGAAGACATTTATGAAGAGACCAAATTCTACAGTTTGTCCAGAAGGCTATCAAGACAACTAATTACTGAGTTTAAGATTACAATACATTTACCTGAAAAAAAAAGCCTGTGGGTTGAAATACAAAACATATTTTTATGCTATTATAAAGTTAGAATTATTGTGCTGTGAGTGGAAGGCCAAGCCATCAGTGAAATTTAATCAAAAACAGTCATGACATGCCATGAATTTTGATTAATAAAGCACCTGAAAGTCCAGCCAGGAATAAGGTTCAAAACCCTACAAGAATGAAGACAAAAAATTTTCCTCTCCTTCTGGAATACACTCTCTTAGGACATGTGAACGTCTTTTTATTTAATCATGTTGAACTTGAATATATTTAGGTGAATCCTGTAAATTGAATTTCACACCAAAGCTACAGAATAAACAATGAGCAGGTTATACAGAATGTCCTGTAGAATGCAATAAAGTTTAGACATTTGGTAAATGCCTCCCCCCTTCCACTTCTCACAGAATAAGACAATCCAATAGTTTGGAATTAGAATGCTATTTTGCTGTAAAGGTCAGCCAAGCTCTACTGAGGAACTCTTGTTCTTGCTTTCAGTAAAATGACTGCACAGACATACTTTAGATAGTAAATTGGCTGGGGGGGTGGGGGAGAGGGGTCCTGCCTAGAGCAGGGGGCTGGACTTGATGACCTTCTGAGGTCTTTTCCAATTCTATGATTCTATGATTCTAAGTGGAATAACCAGAAGAGATCTGCAACTGATGGCTCTTTGGGTCCTTTTTGGGTTGGATAGGGTGTATATAACAGAGCAATCCACCAGGACAGAGTGTCAGCCGACGGTCAGGGCAGTGAGTCCCTTATGACCGGCTGAAGTTCTTTTAAATTGTGCTTGGTTCTGTTACAGCAACTGAAGGAGTCAGGTTAAAGCTTAAACAGTTACTATTTATTGTTACAGGGTAAACTTAGTTGTTAAATGCTACTACTGTGTTACAGATAACACAGACACTACAAAGGACAGGACAGAAATTACAAACGTGGTAGATAACCACAGAAGGCCCATGGGAACGAATGGATAGATATGATGATAAGTTGAGACCAATGATATAGGAAAAAGACAATCCACCAATACTGAGGTGAGGCAATACAAACAAGGAGAAAGGAAACATCACTTAATGAATATGTATCAAACATAACAATGTTGGCATAACATATTATAAAAGTGGCATCCCAGCTTAGAGGCAATAGGAGAAGAAGTAGTAGTTCTTGGGAGGTGCCAGAATGAGGGCCACAGGTGATGATGGGGAAGGCGAAGGTGATGAGCAAGATGATGGCTAACACCACAGGTTGTTCGAGGGCCGTGGTGTCCAACATGTTAGCCACTAGCCACATGTGGCTGGTTGGGCCATGGGGTGGGCTACTAAACCCCTCTTTATACCCCTTGGGTCACGTAGGCTTCTTCCTAGTCTCAAGTGGCCAATTAGGAAAAATGGCTTTGAACACCAGGTTTCCCACCAAGGGTGCAAAGCATAATTCACACCTGGGAAAATGCAGACAATGGGCACCTCTGGAATGTGATGGGCGAAGATTACTCTCCTGAGACAGTGCAGGCGTGTCAATTACTGGTACTAGCCATCAGGGCAGCGGGAGGCCCCGGGTCGTCAGCTAGCCCATTTACTGTCTAGTTTCTGTTTATGGTAGAGTCAGGGCCAGGCAGCACACCTGCATTCCCAGGGCATCAAAGTCTGACTGCCTTTCTCTCTTGGGGGGGGGGAGAACAAGATGGGGTTCATGTCTGGCTACACAGAGACAGGGAAGAGTTCAATGACAAGGACTGCCACCTTCTTCCCACACTCAAGCCCACTTAGTAGGGTCAAAAAATCAGTCTATTTTGGTCCATATCACTGTCATTGGATTTTAAAAATTGTAAATTTCATTTCAGCCATTTAAATCTGAAATTTCACAGTATTGTAACTGTAGGGTCCTGACCCAAAGGGAGTTGTAGGGGGTTGCAAGGTTACTGTAGGTGGGGGAGAGGGAGGGTTGTGGCACTGTTATCTTTACTTCTGTGCTGCTGCTGGCAGTGACATTGCTTTCACAGCTGAGCAGCTGGAGAACATCAGCTGCTGTCCAGGAGCCCAGCTCTGAAGGCAGAGCCACTGCCAGCAGCAGCACAGAAGTAGGGATGGTACAGTATGGTATTGCCACCCTTCTGTGGTCCTGCCCTTAGTAGGTGGGCCCTCAGTCAGAAGCTGCCATGCTCCAGCTGTCCAGTAGTACCAGTGCAGAAATAAGGATGGCAGGTATAGTATTACCACCTTTACTTCTGCCTTGTTGCTGGCAGGGTGCTGCCTTTAGAGCTGGGCACCTGGCCTACAGCTGTCGCTGTCCAAGTGCCCCGCTTTGAAGACAGCCCAGAAGGGTGGCAATAGCACAATGCCCCTCTAACATAACATTGTGACCCCTTCCCACAACTCCTTTTGGGGTCAGGACCCCCAATTTGAGAAATACTTGTCCCCCCTTGAAATCTATATGGCATAGGGTTAAAGCACACAAAAGACCAAATTTCATGGGGGATGGAAATCAAATTTTATGATCTGTGACATGTTTTTCATGGCTATGAATCTGGTAGGGCCCTGCTCACTAAGCAAAGTACTTCAGCAGTGCTGAACTTTAAGCATAGGCTTAAAATTCATCTCTGCTCAGCAAAGCATGAGCTCATTTTATGCATGTACATAAAATCATTGTAGCAAAGACAATGGGACATAAGCCACTGGTTCCTTGAATCAGAGCCTAAACTCACACATCCAAAACCAAAACAAACAGAATCCAATCTTTAAGCATACGGTTTTACAGAATCTAAGATGTATTTTCATGATTATTTTAATCCAACAAAAACATTCCCCTTTAATGCCATAAACTCAACTATAGCGTTTTA